TCTTCTATATATAACTATAACGTACGTACGGTTAGAACGACCGTAAACAACTGTAACTTTGTTTTTAACCTTTTTACGTAGGAACTAATTTAACCCCTCTGGTTAATTAAAGGAAGTAGTAGGTATAATTTTAATAGCTCGGATTAAGACCCGTGCTTCTATTTTATAGTTAAATACCACTAATTAAGGTTATATTACGAAATCTATCTCTCTATCCATCTATTACTCGTATATCCTGACTACTACTGCTATTGCTACTACTGTATAATTAACGGATAAGCTTATCCGTTCGATTAAAGCCGATTATAGCAGCGATAGCTCCTCTGCCTCTATAGCCACGGCTACGGCCATGCCCGCGGGTATCACGACCACCTTATTATTATTATTATTACGAGGCAAACCTCGCCGCTACTTCCTCCTACTAAGCCGCCGCCCGTTATTTCTCTAGTTCCTATTCGGAGGGTTTACGAGTATAAGTCTATTAGGTCTGCCTCTGTAAATTACTACTATATAGGATTAACGTAATAGAGATATCTTCGGGCGTAATATAAGACCGACCATAGCCTATGATCACGATAAAAGGCTTAAGAATCCGCCGTATATGGTTATCTAATTAATACCTAAGATCACGGCTAAGATACTAATAAGGATAGAAGTCGGTATAGCTAAAGATACTTCCGGATTACTTATAGGCCACGACCTCGTACTAGTAAGGAACGCCGGATTATTATCTAAACTACCCGGTATAAGGCGTTAAAGGCGTTAGACGTGTTACTAATCGCGACTTAGCGATACCGACGGCGGAATAGAATTACTTTAATAAAAGCTTTAAGATAAACCTGCTATAGTATTATCTTAAGTCTCTTATCCAGTGCCGTGTATAGTATTCTTTAATTTAACGCTAGGCTTAATTAGATTCTATTCTTTTATACTCCGCCTTATTATTTATAAGTATTAACTTAATCCGCTTAGATAAGAACTTAATATCTATAGAGAAGTTAAGCAGATATTCTTTAATTAAGCTATAGTTAGCCTTAGTTCGAGCCGTTATACGATGACCCTAGTTCCTGTTTATCGCGATCTAGTAAGTTATAAATTACTTCCGCTAAGATAGCTATATTTAGAGGATATACTAAATAATGTCCCGCTTATTCCGGGAATTATATAAGCAGATATAGCCACGTCTCTTTAAAATTCTTTTCCGACTTTGCGTAAATAACCGCCTTCTAGATTATTAAAAAGCCACGAGGATTATATATAATATTAGTTTCTCTTAGGAGAGTAATATTAGTTCGTTCCTGGTTTATTATAGTAAGCTCGCTAAAAAGAGGCGCGTTGTGAGCCTTAAATACCTGCTACTACTATTACTATTCTTAGTAATCGCCTTCCTAATACTATCTATCCTTAACCTTACTAGCGACGTTCTTATTAACGTGCTATATATAGATCTATTACTCTATATCGTCCTAGGTGCTCGCGATAGCGTTCTTTAGAGCGCGATCGAGATTAGTAGTAATAACGTATAGGCGGGGGATTATAAGCTAGTAACGTAGCTCTTTAAGATATTCTATTAACTATATATAAGCCTCTTCGTCTTCCTTATTCACTAAGACGAACGCGATATTAAATATAAAGCCGATATTTAAGACGCTATAGATATCTATTAACGGTATCTTAAACCTATTAGTTTTATATATATTATCTATAAAAAGGATCTCGGGGTTATATTTCTATATCTCTTTACACTATAGTATCGCCTAGATAATATCTATAACACAGCTATGTAACTAGGGGAAGAAGTGCTTAATATCGCGGTCGCGGAACTCGCGAATAAGGGCTTATATCGGCGTATATCCTATAAGCGATTCCTCTTAAGCATTAGATATCTTATTATAGATATTGGAACGTACCTAGGTCTAGCTAGGGTATTTCTCTCGTATAACGCCGTGATATCTTAGGTGGAGGTAAGGCTTATTTTAAAGTGTTAGCGGATCTCCTCGCGTTAATTGGAGCTCTAGGTCCGTTTATAATATATTAGATATAAGGCTATATCGAGGAAAGTGTTATAATTATAGTCGGAGTTGATAATATCTATAAACTAATAATTATCCTTAAGGGTTACGAGGATAGTAAAAGGACACTTAACCTTCCTAGAGGTAGTATTTAGTCGAGTACTAGCTTCTTACGATTCGCGCTCGCTACCTCCACGGTCGTAGCAGAGCTCCTTCCGTTGATAGATACCGCTTTTATCCTCATTAGAGGATCGCCGGATAGTAATAGCGTAGTCGTATTCCTTTACGTGGTTATTTACGTGCGCTACAAGATCGTCGAAATCCTTATAGCCTAGGGTAAAGAAGATAGGCGGAAGAAGCACTATCGCGGCGTTAATTAACCGATTGATAGCTTAACTAATTAACCGATTGATAGATTAACTAATTAACCGATTGACTGATTGACTGATTGACCGATTAAGGGATTAACGATTAATTTTATAATTATAATCGTAATATAATACTATGTCGTAAAATTAAGGATAGTGCTAGAGTGATAGGAAGGTGGTGGTAGTAATCTAGGTGCCGCGATTTGATTGGTTATAAAAGTGGGTCCATGACCGAACTATAGTCGGAATAACCAAGTGGTACAGTCGGAATAAAGGCTCTCTAAGTCTTTTCCGTTATAGGAACTACTTAGCTATATTTCCGGCTTCGGTATTATATTTTAGTGCGTTATATAAATCTCCCCTAATTATAAACGGTTTTCTTACGGCACCGAAAAGATCCTTACGCTCTTTCTCGGTTATATCCTAGTATTAAAGCACTATATACTCTGCTATCTTTACCCCTCCGTTGCCATAGGGGCACCGCGTTAATAGAAACCCCGGTACCCTTACCTTAGCTAAGAAAGCCCGTAGGCCTAGTTTTTCTAATCGGATTTAGGTAAGTGTAGAGCTTTAAGACTTAAGGAGACCTATATAATTCTAGAGAGAGTATTATATTAAGGGGCGGCTTAGTGCTCTTACAGCGTATATATATAGCCGCTATACTTCTATCTAGGCTTTACTCTATACTTTTATAAAGGCCTTCCTCGGGGGTAAGGCTCCCGCCTAGGCTATTAGGGCGGTAAGTTAGTGTTAAAGAATAGGCTATAATACCAGGGAAAAGATACACCGTAACGGATAATACTATCATAACTTAATAGTTATATATTATAAGGACTTTAACTTAAGGAGGAAAAGGAAGACTTTGCCTCCTTTACGCTAACGTGGTAATTTAGTCTTGCCGAGTACTCGGCGATCCGAGCGTATCTCCGATCCTATATAGTGATAATCTATAGTCCTACTTAGTTCCTTACACTACCCCCTCTCCAACAGGGCTAGTCTCTTAGGCCTATTCTATTTCTACCTTACCAGGCAGAATATACGTATAACTCTAGCCTTATACGAACCCCGCTATCTAGTCGGCGCTTATAATTAGTTAGCACCGGTAAAGCTATATACCTCCTTCTAAATATCACAACTTCTTTCTAATATATAGCCAGGTAATCGGTAAACTATTAACGGTAATTATATAGCCGACTCGCTTACTAATTATTATTCCTTTTCTAGCGTCCCGCGTAATAGCCGGTAATTACCTACCGTGTTTTATAATATCACGCTTATCGCTATTCCTTTATTATTATAGTATATATTATTACTAAATTTATAGTTACCGTTCTTTATACTTACTTCTTCTCTGGCCGGATTCATAACTAAGGCGACTATTGGCCGCGTAGATAAATTTCCATTATTCCCTCTTATAGTTATTTTTCTCTTCTTCCTTCTTATATAATCTTTATTCTTTATCTTACGTTTTCGTTCACTATATATTTATATTATAGCCGAATCATCGCCGTTATCTTTATCTTATTCTATCGAATATCGAATGCCCGATAATATATCGCTTCCACTCGACGTTACCCGAGAATTACGCCGTATACCGTATAATACTAATAAGGGGTAGCTAGGGAGCTACTCCGATAATCCGCCTTACGGTCGTTATATAGCCTCCCTAGGTATCGATATTTATAGAGATTATTATATAAACCACTCTAACGCTAACGTATATAGGTGTGTTATCTATAACCGTGCCTATTAGGCGTGTATATCTATAAGGTTTATTCTTCGTCTCGCTAAGCGTTCGGCTTCTAACACGTCCTAGATCCTAGATAGGCTCCTAAGCGCCGCCTAGTATATATAGAATATCACCACTACTATTATCTAGAAAGAGGCTAAGGGTAACCTAATAGCGATTAGTCGCCGTTATTTTTATTTACGGCTTTAGACCGTGTATATAAGTAGTTCTATAAGGCCCTTAGTAAGGCTACTCGTCTCCTTACCGCCGTCGCCGCTAGCTATCTTATACTCGATAGGCCGGATTACTAAGATTATAATCCGGGTAGACGCTTATAGAATCTGCACTATATAAAATACGGTGGTAGCGGTTCCCTGACGGTCCGACATAATTACAATAGTACACAATTGCCTTGACCAATCCTGACCTTTCTGTGACGATTTCGACTACACTTTATTTGACACTCTCTGGCGCCGTTTTGGCGCGACCTTGACAAAGGACTCCCTCCCAATCTGTCGTTGCTTGCTACCTATTGCCCCCACCCGCTGTAGAGCTCAAATACTGAATTTCTCCTAGGTAGGTACCATGCGTTGAGGTCCTACTTCGCTCTGTATATCCCTGTGGACAAGGTGTCGCGGGCTCATCTTATCTCTTCCAACCTCCTCGGGCAATACAGACAAGGCTTACTGTTACTGATATTACACTCTGCAGAAGGTACAACTCGGTATAAGTCATTACATACACCTCACCACTTCTCTCGGCACCATTACATGTACCTTTCCTTTCTCGTTTTCCACTTCTCGTCTACTTCGTGATCAGCTGCGTCCCTCAACCGAGGAGCGATATTACGAAGTCACAAATATACTATTACTTTCTCGTTCCGAAACCACCATGAGCATTTCATCCGCCGACAGCGACCCTGTCGGTGGTCTTCCCCCTGCTGTTGCCAAGAGCACCGGGACGGATACGAGCCACTCTTCAGCCGCCGTACTTACTCGCGCTTTGACCCCACCACCGCCCGATCACGATGGAGTAGACGAAATATGTGATATCAATATCACGTCTGCTCGGACAATGCGCCGCCATCGCAGATTGAGTGATGCTACTCCGTCTGGTGGCGTAAAGTCACGTGCTCTTGATGCTGCTCTGCGACGTGACGTAAACAGGACACAGCGGGAGACTACACCTGGAGGAAGTCCCCAACGGAAACGTCAAAGAGTTAACGGCGACAGGTAAGCGAAAAGGAACTCGTATTCGCTGATGCCGCATTTTCATTGCAGCTGACCGAACTTCAATTGTGTAGATTCATACCCTCTCGGTCCGGCCAGGATCTTCAAGCCAGTTTCAGTCTACTCCACGAGGATGGCTCGCCCGCAACGACGTCCCGACAGAAGAAACGTATCCCACATGGAGAGCTGCACTTCCAAAAAAGTATGGCACTTTGTCTTGGATTGAGGCTGTGGACCGTGAACTAATATTTGGATTAGCTGAGGAAGCAAATCGCACCTTCTCAACACTACTTCGTTCCGAGCTATTTGAGGGCAGAATACCGCAAGCCACCACGCCAAGTTACCCTACTGATCAGGCCATGCCTTCAACGTCCGACACTGTTGCTGGTCATAGTACGAGGTCTCAAACACCGCCAAAACGGTCTTCATCCCATCCACCATCGATGACACCGTCGACCCCGCACAAGAACCTCTTCTCTTTTATGTCCCCGCGGAATGCATGTGCAGCCGGCCACCTGACGCCATCTAGAACGCCCCAGAGCCGCCACGGTCCGAACTTAGATACCCGAACGCAAATCTACAGCCTCTCTCCAGTTCGCATTGGGAGCCAACAGATGCTTCTTAGCCCCAGGCGACAGTCCAGGGCCATCAGCAAAGTGCCGTACAAAGTCCTCGATGCGCCTGAGCTAGCAGATGACTTTTACCTTAACTTGGTTGACTGGGGCAGTGCGAATGTGCTTGGGGTCGGCTTAGGATCGAGCGTTTATATGTGGAATGCTCAGACGGGCCGAGTTAATAAGTTGTGCACGCTCGAGGATGATGTTGTGACAAGTGTCTCATGGATCCAGAAAGGAACACACATTGCTATTGGTACAGGAAAAGGTCTTGTCCAGATTTGGGACGCTGAAAAAACGAGGCGCTTGAGGACCATGACCGGCCATACTGCAAGGGTAGGATCGCTAGCATGGAATACCCACATTCTAACATCTGGGTCCAGGGATCGCATTATATATCATCGCGACGTTAGGGCGCCAGACCAATGGTTCCGCAAATTATCTGGTCACAAGCAGGAAGTCTGCGGTTTAAGATGGAATTGCGAAGACGGCCAGCTCGCGAGCGGCGGGAATGACAACAAACTGATAGTGTGGGACAAGCTTTCGGATACACCTCAATGGAAATTCGCGGATCACACGGCAGCTGTTAAGGCCATTGCATGGTCACCGCACCAGCGCGGTCTTTTAGCGTCTGGGGGGGGAACGGCAGATCGGAGGATAATCTTTCACGACACAGTCCGAGGCTCAATCATCAATGAGGTGGACACAGGTAGCCAAGTGTGCAATATTGCCTGGTCCAGGAACTCGAACGAAATCGTCTCGACACACGGCTACAGTCAAAATCAGATTGTCGTCTGGAAATATCCTTCCATGACACAGGTTGTCAGCTTAACGGGTCATACGTACCGAGTCCTCTATCTAGCGATGAGTCCCGATGGACGCGTGATCGTCACCGGGGCGGGTGACGAGACGTTGCGCTTTTGGAATGTATTTGGACGGCGGCCTGGTGCCCGAGACGACGGCGATGGAGGAGGCAGACTTTCTAACTGGGGTATCATTCGGTGAAGAGGCAGCAGGCAGTATGTTGTTGCAGGCTTCCCCTGCCGATCTGGCCTTCACTAGCGTCGTTTTGGCCATGCCATTATGTCTCCCTGGATCTGGAGGAAGTGCGGCGGAGGAGGAATATCGGCTGGACAACCTACATAATACGGAGATGCATATACGTCGTCGGACGGTTGTAACGGCCGGAGTTTAGGAACGAGTAAAGCAGGCACCTTTGCTTTGGGTATCACGAAGTATAGCTTCTTTCACTATTAAGCCAAATATTGCTGTCTTTTCTTTCCCCTTCGCGTTGCTGTTCAAGTTTCGTATATTGAAAATGCACTCTTCTGACTTAGGGGGAGATCTCTGTCAATATCAGATACCTGTCGCATAGGCACAGGACTATGCCTGACTAAGGGCTTCGGACCTCGGGTATCAGGATATAATAAGGGTGGATATCGGGAAAGACCGGATAGGATCCAAATAATATAGTACCCATAACAGAGTCTTTACCACCTAAATTAAGGGCATAAGAGACTTATATAAATATAACATAAGATAATATATATAAACGAGATTTCTGCTCTATTAGAATTATCACTATAATTATTTTTATTATTATTCTTCTTATTCTTACTCCGCTATCCTATCTAATCTAGAGGAGCCTAATTTAGACTATACGGTCCTTCCCGGGTGGCTATAGAGGGGAAAACCCGGGATCTCGGGGGGAAAACCTCTATACTTATCCTTAGTTAAAGTAGTACCGTTACGGGGCCGATATAGCCCTGGTTTATCCCCTATATATATCTGGATTATACCTTTAGGTTAGTAGCTAATAGAAAGGGGAGTAGGCTATAGTTTAGGTTAGCCTAGGCCGGTTATTAGCGAGAGAGCTAGGGGCTAAAAGGGTACCGCGGCGTCTCCGCTATATAGCGGCCGCGGTATACTATTTCCGGCCTCCTTATATCCCCGGGAACTATTTCTATTATCCTTTTTATTTAATTAATAAAGAGAAAAGGTAAGGTAGGCGTTCCTGCCTCCTTTAGGGGGTAGGTGCCTGCTATATCCGGCGGTAGGCAGGAAAGGCAGGGCTCCGCCTATACCCGTAAAAATAATAGATAGTTAATAGAGAATAAGGTCCTTTTCCTTTCTCTTTTTTCCTTCCTATAACGCCTTAGAGTTTATTATAGGTTTCCCTTATTACGTTCACGTCTACGGTCTTATAGGCTTACTATCACGGTATTATACTAACTAGTAGTATCCTATAGTTCTTTAATCTTACTTTTTCTATATAATTCTAGTATATAGCTTATAGCTTAGTAGCGTTACGGTGGCGTAGGGTTACCTAGGTAGTATAATAGAAGTAATAATATATATAATGCTAATTATAATTAGTATTATAATATAAGTGTCTTTATATTATAGCAGCGCCGTAGTAGTAATATACTAATAGCCGTAAATACCTTCCCTTAGTAATAATCGCCGGTATAAATAGGGTATAGTTCGTGTTATACCGTATATATACCATACTAGTGTCGAGGTAGTGTTATAGCGTTTAATATATAGTAGTTATTTATATTATAATAAGCGTCTAGGATTTTATCCGGTTAATATTAAAGCTTACATTAATACTATAGGCACTAATACGGCATACTTTCAATACGCTAATAGCCGATATCTATATAAGGATATAAGTTATCCCTAAACCGTAAAGGTGCCGCTAATATATTAAGGTGTTTAGGTCTAACTAGTTAATAGGTCCCCCCTACTACTAAAAAGTACTAGTAACGTCTTATAAACGTTTATACTAGTTACCTATTAGTAAAGGTTATTAGTAACAGTAGTATTCCTACGGTAAGTAATCTCCTTGTAGTATCGTAGTAGTGCTTTACTAATAATCCGTAGGCTAAAGAGCGTTTAAAGACGGCGGCTTTATCCTTTAAACGGGCTATTACTCGGGCGCTGCTTTCCGGTTATAACCGTAGCGGCACCTTATCGGAGGAGTTACGGGAGGTATTACGCCGACTCTGGCGCGTTATAGGTATAGCGGGTATTCTATTAGATTATTATATAAATAGCCTTAATAATATCTTTTTACGGCCCCTTTATAGTGCCGATCCGGCTAACTATCCTAGGGTCTTAAGTATCTTAAAAGCGGGGTTAATACCTCTAAGGGAGGTAAGGAGGAAAGTAATAAGGAGTGTTACGGGTTAACCCCGATATAAGGATCCGGCTATACTCCGGATCTTCCTGACTACGCGCTTAGTTAATATACCTATATCGCTAAGTCATCGCTACCTTATAGCTAGCCTAGCGCTATAGACCTTTCTCCTTTTTCCTTCTTCCCTCCTTAGTTCTAGATAATCTATTATTACGACCTTACTTAGTGCCACGATCTATAACCAGTCGTTTATATATCTAGAACTTAGCGACGCTTATACGTTACGCTAGCGATAGATTAGGACCCTAACGCTACCGCCTAATAACCTATTAGAATTAAATAGGTTACGGAGTGGATAAACTAATAGTTCGAAGAAAACGACTAAGCCCTAAACGTAAGGCTAAGTCCTCTCTATAAATAATATAGGAATATTAATATAAGGCTTACTCTGATATAAGAATATTACTCGGAAATACGCTAGTTTATAGACTAATAACGCGCGAGAGAAGAAGCTAATAAGCGATAACGCCTATTAGTCGAATAGCTTATAACCTAGCTCCTAGGATCGTTTACGCCGTAGAACCTAACGCCGCCTAACTTAAGTATTCTGGCTCCCCTATACACCCCGATAATCCTTATACTAGTAGAATCTACCTTATTACCGGTTCTATCGCTAGCGTTATAGCCGATAATAATAATAGCCGCCTTAACCTTAATAGCGGTACCCCGTAAGACTATCGATAGCCCTATAAAGTTCTCGGGGAAATGAGTATACTATAGCGCGTAGGCCTACGCGATATAGTAGAAACTTATAATCGATATCGACCCATTCTAGAATAATATATAAGCTTAGTATATAATCTATAATTACTTAGGGCCTAAAGTATCATAGGTTATATCGGCCTTCTATAAAAGCGACGGACCGGGTAAGCTTATAGACCTTAATAACTTTATCGCGTATCTTAATCATACTTACCTTAACCCTACGGAATAATCGCGAGCTACCTAAGCCTTACGTATAATTCGTTAATAGTCCGATAAGTTATTTACCGCTTTCCTATCTTATTTTTAAAAAATAGATCGCCTTTACGGGCGGTACTAAATAAGAAGCTATTATATAGATCTTATTCCTTAAAGGAGCGATTACCTCGCGATTCAGGGATAAACTTATCTCCGCCTATATCCCTACTAACTACTATACTATATAGGTTAACGGCGTGTAAGAGATTGCCGGGAAACTTAAAGGTTATTAATTCGAACGAAACTACGATAAATAAGCTTAAGACTATATAACTATAAAGAAGGATACCGATAACGATATAAAGATAGGCGGAGTAAACCGTGTTAGCGATAGGAAGGCGAAGTAAAAGACTCGGATATACTATAATTATAATAAGAAGGGGTATATTACACGGAACTATAAAAAGCTAAAGGAAAACTAAGATACGGTCCGGAAGGTTAAAGAGACTCGCGCGAAGGATCGCGATAAAAGCGGGGATAAGTCGACTAGCGAGGACGACTCGGAAAAAGAATAGCTCTAATATAAAAATAGGCGTTAAAGCCGATAGCCGTAATATGGCGGGAGTATAAGACGTTTAAAGTGCGTGCTAGTAATAACCCGGTATTCATAATAGCTAAAGTAAATAAACGGTGTATCCTTACCCTTATTAATACTAGTTATAACTACTATACTGTTATAAGCGAATAGTTTACCTAAAGACTCTAATTACTATTAGTCGATAAGACGAATCCACTACTAAATAGCTTCTTATAAGCTACCGGGATTATTAATAGCGCGGGAATCGCTATCTATAAGCTTAAGATTAACGGCTACCCGTAAAGGATATTCGTATATATAATACCCGGGCTTACTTAAAATGTATTCCTCGGGAAGCCTTAGATAAAAGAAAATAATATAACGTATTACGCTAAGGATAAACGGCTTTACCACGGAGTAGCCGGATTAAATATACGACTTTATCACGAAAAGGAACCTACCGGAGTATAAGCTATCCGCGACGCCTATTTAGTTACTAGATCCGTATTCGCGGATATTATCCGACGATTATAATAGAAGGGCGAAAAAGTCTTAGTCTAGGGAGTAAGCTTAAGGGATATCGAAAAAGCGCTATATAAAAAGTAATTAGTGGACCCGAAGGACTTTATACCTAAAGAGCTATTATAAGGATTTAGCGACTTATTTACGCCCGATAAGGCTAATTAATTACCGCTATACCGACTAAGAGTCGACTATAAGGTAAACCTTATACCTAGAAGCGATAGTAAGGAATTATTACTCCTCTAAAGGCCGCTTTATAATATATCGAGGGAAAAACTCCTAGTATTACGGAAAATACTTACCGACTTAATAGATAAGGGATTTATCCGTGCTAGCAGTTTAAAGGCCGTGGCTCTTATCCTCTTTATAAGGAAGCTAGGCACAGGGCTTTATTTTTATTACGACTATTAAGCGTTAAACGCGATTACTAAGTAGGACTATTACTTACTCCCTCTAATTACTAAGATACTATAAAACCTAAGCTAAGCGAAATAGTTTATAAAGCTTAACGTAGTCGTTACCTTCTATAAAATCAGGATAGCCTTAGGACACGAATATAAGACTATATTCTAAACTCGGTTTAGGCACTTTAGATAGTTTATTTACCCGTTTAGCCTAAATAAAGCCCCCGCGACTTTCTAGTAATATATTAACAAGATACTATAGCGCTTCCTAGATAACTTTATCACCGCTTATATTAATAATATCCTAGTCTACTTTAGTAAGAGTTAGGCTAATTATAAGGCGAAAGTAAAATAAGTACTCCGCGCGCTTATAGATATCGGCCTAAACCTAAATCCGTCG